GAAACACCATGAAATTTTGACATACATAATTCAACTTTGTAATGCCGTCACAGTTTTACTCAACGTAAATGACATATATTTGCAACAACCACGAGTGTGAATAAAGAGTTTCTAAATTAAAAAAAAAAAGCCACGGGTAAAAAAAAGAACAGATGAAATAAGGTTGTCAAAATGCTGATAATTATTGGAACTGGCTGCTGGGTACATAAAAGAGCTATTATACTATTCTCTTCACTATTGTGGGTATTAGATATTTTCCATAATATTAAATAAAGTGAAAAAATTTCCTCTTTAAAAAGTATTTTTGATATTATCATAGAATTCCTCCTTCTTTAATATTGTTCTTAGTGCATTTTATGGAAATATACTCTGCTTAGAAAAGAAAGCTGAACCTGTGGTTGATGTTCAAAATGACAGAAATATATTGACTAAAAAAGATTATCATTTTTGCATCAAAGAACCCTAAAATGCTAAGGAAGAGAAGATGGCTTTTCTGAATAACATAATTACAAATACAGGAAAGTAGGATTCCTAATAAAAGGTTACTGTTTTGCCACTTCAGATAAACCTTTTGTTTCTGTACGTCCTTGAATAAAATAATACATAGTTGACTGGTGAATCTTGGCAAAATGCCTTCTCCCTTCTGTTTTCCAGAGGACGTTTCTCCATAGTAAAGAAGTGCATTCACAAAGCCACCCGCAAGGACGTCGCTGTGAAATTTGTTAGTAAAAAAATGAAGAAGAAAGAGCAGGCTGCCCATGAGGCAGCCCTACTTCAGCACCTGCAGCACCCCCAGTACATCACCCTCCATGACACCTATGAGTCCCCCACATCCTACATCCTGATTTTGGAACTGTAAGTGCAGGTGTCAGCTCTCTAAGGCAGTCCCCAGCTGTTTGGGTTATTTATTGACCACCACTAATGGAAAAGGCAGTTGCATTTTATGCAGTGTCTTATAGCGTACAAAGTATTACATGTGACATGCACTCTCCCCTCTATCTGTGAAAGTGTTAGTCCCATTTCACAGATTAGAAAACCAAGAATAAGGAAGGCCCTTACAACTAGGTGATGCAGAAACTGAGACTTGAACCCACACCTCTCTCACTCCATTTTTCCTGTTCTTTCTATTATGGACTCTTGGGCTGGGCAAGAGTTTGGGGGTGAAGTTGAAAGGAAAGAGGGGTTTGTGCATCAGTCCGCTGCCATGGCATCCCCAGTCTACCACCCAAGAAGTTCCTTTTAAGGTGAAACCTGACCTTCAAATCATCCCATTCAGTCTAGATTTTCTCGGGATCCCGGCAACCAAATCCTTGGCCCCAGAGCACATCAAATAGAGCAGAGTCTCCCCACTCTCCCCAAGCTAAGAACAAAGATCATGCTCTGTGATTCTGAGAGAGCTAACAGACGCTAAAGAGAACAGTCTTTTCAGAGGTTCTGAGCCCTCGTAGACATGTTATAAGGTTGCTGCTGATGAGAGCCTGGGCCTGGAGAGAAGACATTGGCACCGAAGTTCCAGGCTGTATGGGGCTCCACGTGAACCTGAGTTCAGGAGAGAAGCATTTGCATTTACAGCCTCTCAGCTGACATTGGTATCTTGCTCTTCTGTTCTCCTGGTAGCCCAGAAGTTTGCATAGGGGGGCTTTTGAGGCAATAACTTATCATAAATGTATTTATGATGAAAAAAAGAAAGCCAAAATGCAAACATCTTTGGCTCCATTTTTTAATTGGTTGAAAAGAAACAAGAGGAGACAAAACCAACCCTGTTGGTATTGGTAACTCTTTTGTGACACTTCAGAGAATTGCATACAGTAGCTGGTAGATGTTGCTTCGGACTTAATATATACAGCCTTTCAGAGTCTGACTGTTTGCTGGGAGCTCCCCAACTTAAAAGGCATATTCTGCTGACAGTGACTCTCTTCATTTACAAGTGACAACATGTTATACTTGAGTTCCAATACATATAAGGCATTGTCTCTTGTGCACCCAGCTGGTGCAGCAGGCCCAGAACCTTCGCCCTTTTAGACTTACTGATTACTATTCTGAGGGAAGGTGTTGACTGCCATGCTGCCATGGTGCAATGGAAAGAAGCTGTTCTTGGTACAGAGAATGTGGCTCTGATCCAGCTCTGTGATTTGGGGCAGTGCACTTGGCTCCCTAGGGCGCAGGGTCCTCAATCTGTGAAGTCTGAATAATCGGTTCCACTTCTCAGAGCTGTGTCAGGGATCAAGTTAGATGATTACTGGACTGAACTAGTTGATCAGACATTTCCTGAGCACTCATTGTGTGCCGACCACTGTGTGGCCCTGGGCACCACCGGGAGGAGCAAAGATGAAAAGAAACAGTTGTGGTCCTGGAGGAGCAATAAGACTAATGAAGAGGTCAGACGGCTAAATGACTGACTCAGTATGGCATGGTACATGCTAGGAAGGAAATGCATATTTGGGGGAGGGTTGCTGTGAGAACGCAGAAAGGTGCTTGTTGGACTAGAGGCTGAGGGAAGGTTTATGGAGAGGTGGTGCCCGAGCTACCCCTGCACTAAATCCTGGTTACCCCGCGGCTGTGGGTTCCCCCCTCATGGGCATCCAAATCACTGCTGGGGCTTTTTCCTCCCAGGCAGCTGAGGTTCTGAGTCTGTAGTCTAGGTGGTGCCTGGGCGTCTGCATCATCCGGGAGCTCCAAGGGTGAGCCTGGTGGCTGAGACTCGGCTGTCACAGCAGCGCTATCGCTCATTTCTAGGTAAACGTGCTCCCAGACAACCAGGGCAGGGCAAGAGAGGGGCGCCCACAGCCGCAGCCTCCTCCGCCTGCCCCCCGCTCCCCACTCCCTACCCCTGGCAGGTCGGAGGCAGGCCAAGGAGGCCCTCATTGGGCCTCTGCCTTGTCCTGTCACGGAAAGCAGAAAAGCAGACCAGCGGGAAGGAAAAGGTGGAGAAGAGAACGGCAACTTGGCCAAGGGGGTTTCAGCGGCACTCAGAAGCCATTTGTGATGCTGGCTCAAGCTCCTCTGCCTGGGCGTTTCCTAGGGATGGGCCTTTAACAGCCCCCACGCACATGAGAGCATGGCTGCCTGACATCAGGTCATTTCTTGCTAGAGAGGGCACAGGGTACCTGAAAATCGTTACCATTTATTGAGCAGTTTTTATTGCTACTGAGTTTGCTGAATGCCTCATAGTCCCACTAGGTCCTTGCACAAGCCTCAGAATGACCCTGCTGTTACCACTGCTGTTGTTCCCACTTTGGAGACAACCCGGAACACAGACAGTTAAATGACTCACCCGAAGTCACCTGTAAGTGGGAGAATCAGGTTTCAAATTAAGTCTAGCTGGCCCCTCAAACCATGTTCTCAGTCACAGTTTTCAAGGTTGGAAAGATGCTCAAAGGCCAAAGGATTGAAACTGGGATCAAGAATGCCAACAACAAACTTTGCCTACTTTCCATTCCCTCCCAACTAAAAGTGGACAAATAAAAGTGATTTGCAAACATACGTGGGGCTGCTTGTAGCCACCAGGTACTATTTAATCAGAATATTCCTGATAGTTCTCTCTGTGTCAAGGGGTGCAATCTAACCTCTTAAAGAGGTGTCAGACCTTTTTCTTGTGAGCAGTTTCAAAAGTTAACAAGATAAAATGTGTCTTAAACAAGGGTATATAGATTTCTTCCCTGAAGCACGTCACATTTGTAATTTATTTACTTATTTGAGTTCTGAATACTATACTAGCTCTAACTAAAATATGCAGGTGTCACAACACTGATCTTCATTTATAATAAGGAGTAGGAGAGAATTAGAAACCTTACAGATTTGTATGTGTGTTATTTTTCTGTTTCTTTACAAACACATTTCCTTTGCCTTTTCCTCCATACGTTAAGGATGGATGACGGCCGGCTTTTAGACTACCTTATGAATCATGATGAACTGATGGAAGAAAAGGTAGCTTTCTATATCCGAGACATCATGGAAGCTCTGCAGTACCTCCACAACTGCAGGGTTGCACATTTGGACATAAAGGTAATGAGAAATAGCAATCCTTGCAGGGAAATGGCTAAGTCCAGCCTGCCTGCCGTTACCCTTGAGGGATGTAAATTCTAATTCATTCTGCTTACTTAGTTTGGAATCCTTGTGATTATTAAACAGAAGTGAGGTTGCACACAATTTGGGTGTGTTATTCATAAATTAATAGGAACACACCAAGTCACAGTGACATCTGGGTGGGGGAAAGTAGAGGAGCTTTAACCACTTAGTCTAACTTTATAGAAGGAAGTCATTAAAAATCAACTTTGTTATGGTGCTCAAAAAGAAGCCACTTCTTTTCCAAAATGAATAGTTTATCCTTTTCTTGATTCAATGCAGCAGTAAGGGGTAGTTAGGATGACATGATTTCCAATGTCATACTTCTCTGAAGCACCACCCAAACTTAGAATTAGCTTGGTTTGAAGCCTCCTGTGTACTTTGCATAGGGAATTTCCCTTACACAGTAGGCTTCTTAAAGGATAGCGGAACCGTGTTTGAACCAATGGAATCCTACTGGTGGTCAAAACAGAAAGCTGAACTCATCTTCTCTTCTCCCTGCCTCTTTGGACCCCCTCAGCCTGAAAACCTGCTCATTGACCTGCGGATTCCAGTGCCTCGAGTGAAGCTCATCGACTTGGAGGATGCTGTCCAGATCTCAGGTCACTTCCACATCCACCACCTGCTGGGGAATCCTGAGTTTGCTGCCCCAGAAGTGATCCAAGGCATTCCTGTCTCTCTGGGCACAGACATCTGGAGCATAGGGGTTCTTACCTATGTCATGCTGAGTGGGGTCTCCCCCTTCTTGGATGAGAGCAAAGAGGAGACATGTATCAATGTGTGCAGGGTGGACTTCAGCTTCCCCCATGAATACTTCTGCGGCGTGAGCAATGCTGCCAGAGATTTCATCAATGTGATCTTGCAGGAAGACTTCCGGAGGCGGCCCACAGCAGCCACCTGTCTGCAGCACCCATGGCTGCAGCCCCACAATGGCAGCTACTCCAAGATCCCCCTGGACACTTCCCGTCTGGCATGCTTCATAGAACGCCGCAAGCATCAGAATGACGTTCGGCCTATTCCCAATGTGAAGAGCTACATTGTCAACCGGGTAAACCAAGGCACGTAGCCACCTCCTGGCCCCTGAGGTTTCACATGGAACTGCAGTGTGAACCAAAGCAAGACTGAATGTGTCTGTAAATAACTCAGTTAATTATTTCACTCCATGGGGTTCTCTGGATTGAGAAATGTACCTCTTAACCTCATCAGTGGTTATTCAGGGTCTGGGCAGCAGTAAAACCATCCTAAATCCAGGGGCTTTCCAGATGGTCATTTACAAGAGAGAAAGATGCAAAGTCACAGAAAGTATTAAGAAGAGAGAGACAAGGATAACAAGAATATTAGCTCTTACAAAATTGTAATCATGTGTTCCAAAATGAGTGGTTAACTGGGCAAACTTAAGCTCACCATAGTGAGTATAAAAGGTCTCTGCCTTTGCTGAAATTTTAAGCAAAAAGTTCTATTTAACAGAGATGTCATGTATGTCAACTATTCTGGTTTAGATTATTTAGATATAGTTTCCTAGTAGGATACATATACACATACAGTAAAATATATCCCATTCAGGTTTCAGAGTTTTATAATACAGAGATATATATGAGATCAATCATAAATAACTTTGAGTGCTCTAGTTAAGACAGTAATTTATTTATCGAAGCATTACATTGTTTTGACTAAGCACAATTAGATGACAAGTTTTTTAGAACATTTTATAAATCTTGTATAGAAATCTTTTACCAGAACCCATTAAGAGAAAGCAATGTTACCCTTTTGCAATCTGTGAGTGAGAAGATTTTTTCTCTGAGTCACGGGTATTTGATTAACATAGGTTCTGTCTATGAAATGCTACCCCCAAATTCACTGGCAGCTCAGTTAATCTGGCAGAAAAGCCTGCCAGGAAGTAAGTTCAAATACAGTAAGAGTTGTGGGGCTATTTTTATGTCTACACTTGGTTTAAAATAATGAACATAACAGGTTCATACAAAAGGGCAAGTAGAAACCTTTCCTACAGTTCCTAGGAAGAACTTAGCAACTCTTTCTGGTTTCTTCTACAGCTGTAGGATATAGTCCTCAGAAAGTTGGCTTTTTTTCTTTCTAACCCCTTTTGGAAGCTAAGGGATGCTTATCAAAAGGAGGCAGCCATATAGGCCTTGTAAAGGCCTGGTTCCAAGTCGTTTTTCAAGCCATGGAATAAAATCCGATCTATCACCCTAATAGAGAATAGAGTTTTAACTATGATTGCAATACTGATCACCACTCAGCACTGATATTTCCCTGGACCAAAAGGACTAATTGCACTTTGAGGCCAATGCTGCTTTCTGGTGTATATTCTCCATACAAGATGACTATACATACAAGACGAACCGCCCTTTTTCCCTCTGGTGGAAAAGAAAATCAAACCTGGGCATTTCATGTTTTTTTTTTCTTTTGTTTTTGGGGAAGTTTTCATTTTTATGTTTGTACATAATCCACCCTTTGTTTTCTAGGATGTGTTTTGAAAATTGCTGTTAAGCAAATAATAATTTTAAAATGTAACTGAAGTGTCTGTCAGATCAGGTTTAATGGTATTGCTTCTCTCCTATAATAGGAGTGAGAGAAGTTAAATCATGCAGCACCAAAGTGCAAGCAGAAAGTTTATGAAGGATAAATAAAACTATAAACCTATCTAAATGGAAAAGAATGCTGGAAACTAATCCTGAATTTTAATAGATAAAAACACTTATTCCCACAGTGGAAATGTAGAATTAAAATGTCCATCATTCTTTTCCATTGATTTCAAAGCCAACTTCCTCATCCACCCTCCACCCCATACCGTCTAAGATTATAGATTGATAAATTAGTAGTAAGTATGAGCAATAAGACTAGATAGCATTTCGTATTTTCAGAATTAACCAAATATGTGGAACTTGACTCTGGCTGTATCTGTTTCCTAGTTCTTGAATGGCTCTGGGTCATCAAGGCCCCCTCCCTCAGAGCTCTCTCCTGACTAACCTGCCATAGTCTTTATTTAAACCTATATGTACATGATACACTATTTTTAAATTTAAAACATATTTACTAAAAATTCTTTTGGTAAACATGGCTTCATGATGAAATATAGCATAAAAGAAGAAAGCCTGGTCCCTAGGACTCCTCCTGGGATAGACTGCAAGTTCTGAGGATTCCAAGTATCCACACGGTTATGGCTCAGCAAGTTCTGTTCTGTCCCCTGGGGACAGTGGTTAAAGAGCCCCCTGCTGAGTCACTTTGAATTGTTCTGACCATGCAGGAGATAAACTGAGATTCTACTTGAGACGAAGAGGGCCCAGGACAGTGGTACGCAGACTGCCCGTGAGCGTTAATGAAATCGTGTTTTGGGGAGGGTGGCGGGCAGTGTTAGAGCCAAAGCTTTTATATCAGCTTTTACATCAGAGTTGGGATGGTCCAGATACGAGGTTTCATGGAATCCTCCTAAGGACACATGTTGGGGAAGCAAGGAGACAGAAGAGGAGGGACATAGAAGGGAAAATAGTAAGAGTCTGTTAACTGGAGCCAACGTACAATCATTAGAGTAGAACAAATTTCACAGAGGCCCCAAGAGAAAGGACATGTATTTTATATAGGTTGGTAACAAGAAAACTAATAGGGAGGCTCCCTGCCTGCAAAGCTCCTGGTCCCTCCCAACGGTTAGGAGAGTAGTCCTGGTTCAAGAATTCTCTAGAACAAGTTGGAAATAACAAGGAACCCCAGGAGATGGGGCAGGGAAATGTACTTTAGGTTGCTCTGTGGGCAGCTGTGATGAGGGATGAAGGATTAGGGACCGGTTTCTTGTACCTGTTTTGGCAGAGATGTTAATTACCTTGTTGTAGAGAAGAGAGGAGAGAAAAGAGTTCACTTCTACTATAATTATGGTAGTTCTCCAAATCAAGGAATTAGTTACCTAGGAATTAGTAAGAGTGAACTTCCAGTTGAAATGAGAAAGGTAAATGTTGGTTAAAGTCCCAAGTTTCTCGCTTGGCTTATATTCATTGCATGGGGTTTTGGGGGTTTTTGTTGTTGTTTCCTAAGGGTGGGATGCAGACAGAAAGAAAAGATCAGGGACAACCCACAATTTTTAAAAGGTATGATTTACTGCATCTTTTACATTTGCTTGAAATCGATTTATATCCACTTACAACTGAATGTGGGAAAATGTTTAAGGAAAAAAAATTGTAATGTTGGCAGTGTCCTTCAGGTGTCAGAGCCATAGACACTCTTGGGGGAGAAGGGGAAGCAGAGGAAAAGCTGGCTTTGTGGCTTTGTGGTTCACAAGCCTTTATAAATAGTAGTGCCTTTCAGAGGGGAGGATGGGAGTAAAAGAAGTCCATTGTATTTAGATTGACTGATACTGCTGCATTTTTTCTTTATTTTAAAGTATCTTTTAAATGAAAACATCTGAATATAGGGTGAGCCCAGGACTTCTTGAGCTTCAACCTCAGCTATTCCTGATTCATCCTTTCTTACAGAAAGTCTTTGTTTTTTCTGCCCCAAGTGTCCCCATTGTTAAAATGGGAGTTGGGGGAAGGAGGGAGGACATTCATCTCATAGCAATGTTGGAAAAATACTCTAGTTGGGATGTCTAGAAAATGCTTTGATTTTTTAAAAGTGCTACACACTGCCAGTCTAAGAATTTTATTGACAGTAACTTTGGACATTCCAGGTTTTCAATATTCATGTCTTAGGATACCATTTGTGAGTGAAGTTAAATTCTGTAAGTTGATTTTAACTGGAAGTACTAGATGTCTTAATGTCGTTTGGTCTTAGCCTGTAATTTTGATCATTTAAAAGCTTGTCTACAGAAAAGAGCTGATGAAGTCTTACGTCAGTCAACTGTTTTCTCCAGTATTTCTTAGGGCAGACACAGAGTGGGATGCCCTCCAAAACAACCACTACTCTCTCTCTCAAGCTCTATGCTCTGGAAAATTGATAGAAAAGAACCCAAACAGCCACTTTCTCCACTGGGAGGGCAGAAGCGAGGAAAAAATATTTTTTGATACCACAACTCATTTCTGCACAGTCCCACAGGTATCTCTTAAATGCACAGGTATAGAAATGAATTGAACTGTTGGTTTGGGGAGAGAAAACCTTGGAGCTTTTTTTTTTTAGATAATTAGGTGTTTCATGTGTAGCATTATTTGCTTTCTTGTAGCCTCCATAATTCACTGCCTGTGAAGTAACCATTACTTTTTTCTTGCCTATGTGGAAGAGCATGGAAATTTAGATTTGTGAGAATATGAGGGAGCAAATATGTTATAAACTAGAAAGTGGTTATTTCTGTGTATTAACTACTAAGCTTCTGTCCCATGAATTTGATAGAGAAGGAAATATTTCAAATATAAGGGGTCTGTGTAGCAAGGCAAAGATGCAAACTCACCATCTCCTTGTTCAGTTTTTAGGAATGTGGGCCTTACTCTTTTCTCTCCTGGGCAGCATCTCTGTGGAGTCTGGGTTAGACAAACACAGTACATGAGTGTTCAGTGGATTTATTTGCATGATGTCTTTTCAGAACTATTTAAAATCTAGGGTTCATTTGGAAATGAATTATTAAACTCAAGGCAGGGATAGGAAAGACAAGGTTCACACATACTCCACTAAGAAGAGGGAAGCTATCATGTTAATATTTATTTCCTAAATGCTATAAGGCTAGTTGTTTCATTAATTTTTAGAGGGTTAAAAAAGGACTGAAATGTGTCCATAGTACTATACATTTTTAATAGAAAATATTATTCATGTGAGAAATCTATACAGAAATAGAACACAAATATCACAGGTCATATTTTCTATTAAAGGCATTTCCTCCTCATTTTCATTATATGTAGAAGTTAGAAGAAAGTAAACAGCAATTACAGTTTAGACAAATTTTCATCCTTTAGGGACATTTATGGAAACACTGAAATTAATACTCACAGGCTACTGTGTTTTCCTGTCAGTCTGTTCGCAGGAAGATTCTAAAATGTCAGATTTAGTTTTTATTCAAATGATCAACATTAACTGTTTATTCAAATAACTGTTATTTTGCCTAGTGAAGATAGCCAAGAAAGGGCAGGTGGTGGAAAAAAGTGCAAATAAATTTCTTGAAGTCCCAACTCCTTAGGCTTAATTTAAGCAAGCCAGCTTGCTAGCCCAAGAATAGCTAGCCCAAGTGTTCCATCAATGCCTGACTTCTATCAAGAAATGAATCCACCTCCAGGAGTACTGGGGGACTGCTACTATGATCTCAAAGACTGCAGTTATGGACTGGAAGTTAACAGAATATACATCTTCTCTTACTAACTTAAGCCATATCTGTCATCTCTGTGTTTGACTTTTTTGACCCTGGTGCTTTTACTTCTGTTTCTGCCAAACTTCAGCCTACTCTATGGGGAAGGTGAGTAAAATTAATAAGACAAATGTGAAGACTGTAAAGGAACTAAACATACTCTAGAATGAGATCCTATTCAGAGAACAGTAGTGGTCGAAGTGCAAACTGTTGGAAAATATGGATATATGTACATCTGTACATGTATATAGTGTATAATATGTATGTATATGTTATTGCTCATATGCTGAAATCTATCCAGTTGAAGACAACCCAGGTGGGTCAATTTTTCTATTGGAAAACCATTTAGGGCCATTCAAAACCATTAGGATTGGTAAGTGGAGTTAGAGTCTACTCATTTGGGAATTTTTTGTTGTCTTTTGAAGTCCAGTAAGCCAAATGAACAAAGCCTGAAATATAATTGGGCACTCATTTAGGTTATTCTGTTTTCCTGGAATCAGAAGTATCTTTATATTTAAATTATTAAAAGTTGGTTTGCAAACTGCATTGGTACCTCTTGGTTTTGAGTGACCCCTCCCCAACAAGTCTTTCAAGAGTTTGGGATGGGCTTCTCTGGCCATTCAGATAAAGGGCCTTATCTGTAAGTGGACAGGTTTCCCCATAGGGACCATTACACATATACATATAAGTAATACTTACATCGGCTTGTAACAATTGATTTGAAATCATTCCACAGTATTGATAAATAGTTCTATATTTTCAAGGTGCAGAAGAATTCCACAGCCTTAATTATTTCAGTGTCTTGCTGGTCTGCCTTAAGTGTATCTTCTGGGTTTTTGGTTGTCTTATTATTTTTAAATTTTTCTGCAGTTGTTCATTTTGTATGCACACAATGTTGTTTTGTAAAGGTAGGTTGTAAATATTTTATTTGTAAGTCAAAATCACTCATGTGTAATGTTGTAAAGTGATGACCTGCTGTCTTGTATTATTACTACAGTAAATGTTGTTAAGTTATGGATGAAACTTCAAAATGTACATCTCACAAGTTATGCATTCCTATAAATATACTATACTAAACATTATTTCTGGTGGTCTTTGTATTTTCTTTCTAGTTAAAACCTTTGTTCAAAGAGTAATTTTTTTGTCTTCCCCCAAATTTGACATATTAAAAAGCCTTTGACAAGGTAATATCACCTTATTATTACAACACTTTGTGCACAGCATTTTGGAAAGAAAGAAACAGTTTTGTAGCCTGGAGAAGTATTTCAAGGCATTTCTCTAAAAAAAAATGCCAAGTAAGTCTCAGGTGTATGTTGTTAACTTCATTCTAGTGTTTCCTATGGCACCTTTGTTAGAAAATTGGCAGGCCGTTTGGACTGGACCTCACAAGTTTATGTACCATTGTGTGTACTCCAAAAGTCTAGATTAGACTATAGTCAGGCTTTCAAAGAGTCTGCCTGTGCCACCCAAGGGGGAATAAGACTTCATGAGTACACTGTCAAGTAACTAGTGTTAGATTCAAGTGTTTTGCTTAGCTTATTGCCCGTAAGAATAATCTGGCTTCCATTTCATCAAGATTTTGCTGCATTTATTTGAACTAAGAAACAACTGTGGAAAGCATGGGCTCTTCACACTGACTGGTCAGCACAATCTCTCCAGAGACAATATACACGTAAAGATTATAGACACAGAACTGAAATCACCATCTAGTAAGTAACAATCATGAGCCCTTTGGTTCTAACGGTTATTTTCCTTCAAGTATTGCCTTAGACACTTAATAGGAATTTCCCCCACTTCCAGGGATTTATTTGTACAGAACAAATACGCTTGGGCTGGCTGACATGATTATCCTCTTGGATAATCTTGATACCAATTAATTTATCCTCCTTTCCATTCACTTGAGCTACTCTAACGGAAATAAACACACATCCACTTCCAGTCGTCAGAAGAGGTAATGAGCCATTACCTGCTAAACGCTTTATAGTCCCATGTGCAAACTGCTGACATTGTCATGTGCAGACGCCGTTAAGTTAATAAAAGAATCGAATAAAGGCCCCTGTCTTCGAGAATTTACTCTATTTGGAGTAACCGCGGCCGGGTCCGGGTTGGGGTCGGAGGGGTGGAGTCTCAGTTGATAACAGATTAATAATGGCTGGAAGAGTGGGCAGGATTTATACAAACTCTCTTGGAGCTTGACTCTTTGACCCTAGAATCGGTCTAAGTATTCGGAGCTCCAAACTCCACCGATCCCACCCAGAGGCAGCAGCAGGACAAGTCCCTCGCTTGCGGCTCCGGTGCCTCGCGACCCTCGCCACTGCCAGACGCCGAGCAGCTCGCAGCCGGCCCGCCCCGCGCCGCCGCCGGAAAAGGGGGCGGAAGAGGCGGGCCTTCGCTGGAGGCGTCATCGGAGAGCCGCCGGCGGGCGCGACTTGCAGTGCGGGGCAGGTGGGAGACCACCGCGATGTCGGCCGGCGGCGCGGCTCTGCAGTCATTGGTGACGGGTCTTTACGATGTGCAGGCTTTCAAGTTTGGGAACTTCGTGCTGAAAAGCGGGCTGTGTTCCCCCGTCTACATCGACCTGCGGGGAATCGTGTCTCGACCGCGTCTCCTGAGTCAGGTGCCAGCCTCGGAAAGGGAAGAACAGAGCGGGGTGGCGGGACCCGGGACCCGGCGGGCTGTGGGTGAGCACAAGAGCGGCGGTGTGAGAAGCCCAGAAGCCCTTAACTGTTGGGCTCTTGGGACCTCACCCAGCAGCCCGCTTTTTATCGCATCAGCTTTGACACGTGCCTTTTGCAAACTGGGAACACCCGGTTTGGAGTTCTGTCTCGCGCTGAAGTAGTTCAGGGACTTCTGTGTATTAAGCTATGGAAAATTAGAGTTCTGGGGAGAATTTACTAGTGCGAGAGTGTTTGGCAGGACTGTTGCTTGGAAAGGGCGCTTCGATTTTGTATTATGTGGTGCAAGAATTAAAACCAGAGGGTTGCCATTTCAAGGAGGCAGTTTTTGGTCAATACATGGGAAAATCTTGTACAAATGAGAGGATTCTAGCACAGTGCTTCCCAAACTTTGGGTGTGTATGAATCACTTCGGAATTCTGTTAAATTGCCTAACCTGATTCAGTAAATCTGAGGCAGGGCCCTGAGGTTATGCATTTCTAACAAGCTGCGAGGTAAAGCCGCAGACCGTATTTAGAGCGACAGGCTCTACATGTGCCGTCCAGTAGAGTTGCTGTTAGCCACAGGAGAATATTGCGCATTATGAAGTTTTAGATTCAAGTAGTCGCACATGTGGCAAGTGGCAACCATGTTGGACAGTATACATATAGTACATTTCCATCATCGCAGAAGTCCTGTCTAGAAGACACACAGACGTCTCCACCACTTGAAGGTTTGGGTTAACTCTTTATGAGACCCACTTTGTGATGTTATTTAAAAAGGATTAGTTGAGGTGAGTTGGACTATTCTCACCATCCAGAATCTTGCTTTGGTGCTGAGAAAGTGAATGACTAGGAGCCTTCTAATGAAAAATAGGGTTATTTTTTTTAACAAAGTACAGTTGATAGATGACTCAAAGTTATTATTTGATACTAGATCTCAGTGTGTGTAATATCTGGTAGGTAACTCAAGGAATTCAAAGCATTGAGAGGTCTGGCTATAACAACTCCTTTCATGTCTACTTATGTTAAAAGGGTTTCTAGGTATTTGCACCCCAAAAAGAAATGAAATTTACACTAGCTTCCTAGTAGTAAGTAATAATTCCTAGTACTAAGTAATAATTCAATAATAATTCAATTGATGTGTATGTACAAGAGGTACATACACATCAATGCCACGTAGAAGGTACCTTCATCACTAAGAACCACATTTCCAGAATCTGTTTTTATGCTTCTATCGAAATTTGCAAATTATGTTGTAATTAATTTTTTTGCTCATAACAATTTAATGATAACAGTGGAATTTTTAACATTTGGAGACTTAAGGTCAACTTACAATTTAATTTACATACATTTTGTTGTGGAGAAGTATGATAGAATGATCACTAAAAGTTTTTTAAGTTTAAGTATACATATTAGAATACAATTTTGTGGAGACAGAAGAATGAAAATAGGAGTTTCAGAATAATGTAAAATTTTCCAACTTTCATAGCATTTTCATGTTTTCAAAAATGAAGATGTTGAGTTATCAAATCACTATAGCATTTGGGGATCTCATCATATCCCATTAAAAGAGTGGTGTAACAGTTCTAGGGTAATGTTAATCTTTTCAGTACTGTAGAAATCACATCATTTGCAACTTAAAAATATTCATAGATTTTCAAATCTTTGGAGGTACAGGAGCAGCAAAAAAGTTTGAAAACCTCTGATCTAGTTCATTAAGCAGTTCTGAGTGTTTGCTTTTCTTTTTTAAAATGAGGTGGTGTTGAGTGGGCATATGCATTCTAGCATTAAAATGTGATAATTTATGTGGAGAAGGATATTATAAAATAGTACTTCACATATAGCCTTTGTATATATGAAACTTTGTTGCTGTTGACATTTTGGTATATGTTCTTCTACTGATTTTTTTTTAACTGTATTATTGACTCTATTCCCAAGGCCAAACATTATATCTCATGACCTACTTATTTCATAACTGGAAGTTTGTATTCTTAATCCCCTTAACCCGTTTCATCTGCCCCCCGGCCCCTCCCTCTTGTAACTAACAGTTTGTTCTTTGTGAGTCTCTTCCTCTTCTGTTCATTTGTTTTGTTTTTTATGTTTCACATATAAGTGCGATATACTCTCTATCTGACTTATGTTACTCAGTATAATACCCTCTAGGCCCATCCATGTTGTTACGAATAACATATTTCATTCTTTTTATGGCTGAATGATATTCCTTATTTAGTCATCTGTTAATCTATCGATGGACACTTAGGGTTGCTTCCACATCTTCACTATTGTAAATAATGCTTCAGTTTGGGGTACAAATATATCTTTGAATTGGTGTTTTCATTTTCTTCATGTAAATACCCAGAAGTAGAATTGCTGATTCTTACAGTAATTCGATTTTTAATATTTTGGGTAACCTCTGTACTATTTTCCATAATACGGCTGGACCAATTTACATTCCCACCAACAATATACGACTGTTGCCTTTTCTCCACATCCTTGGAACACTTAATTTTTGTCTTTTTGATAATAACCAAAGTGATAGGTGTGAGGTGATGTTTCATTATGGTTTTGATTTGCATTCCCATGATGGTGAGTGATGTTAAGTATCCTTTCATGTACCCATTGGCAATCTGTATTATCTTCTTTGGGAAAATGTCTGTTCAAGTCCTTTGCCAATTTTGTTATTTTTTTTTTGAAGTGTATTTGATTTACAATATTATATTGGTTTCAGGTGTACAACATAGTGATTCTACAGTTATCTACATTATTCCATGTTCACCTCAGTAAGTGTAGCTGCTGTCTGTCAACATACAGAAATACTACAATCTTATTGACTATATTCCCTGTGCTGTCCTTTCATCCTTGTGACTGTATTATAATTGGAATTTTATGCCTCTTTATCCCCTTCATCTAGTTTACCCACCCTCTCACCCTCCTCTCCTTGACAACCACCAGTCCCTTCCATGTATTAAGTGAAATCATATGGTACTTGTCTTTTTCTTCCTGGCTTATTTCACTTAGCATAATACCCTCCAGGTCCATCCATATTCTTGCAAGATTTCATTCATTTTTATAGCTGAGTAATATTCCTTTGTGTATATGTGTTGTCAGGCAGTCCAGTCCAGGGAGGTCTCCCTGTAAGCTTGGTGAGACCTCAACCCGGAAGAAGGTTCTTGACTCTGATGGAGAAAGATTATTCACTAACAGGTTGGACGACTGTAAATAAGGAAGGAATTCATTAAAGTGAGAGTAGCAGTGAATGGCAGCAGCCGTGCAGGCTGTAGACAGCAAGGAAGAGCAGAGGGAGGAAAGGGAAGCTCATTGAACTCTGTTTGGCACAGGGAAAATCCCTTGCCAACTCTTAAAAGGCAGGGACACCTGGCGTCCAGTGGATCTGCCCTTACCACCCCAGGATTTGGGGAAGCTGCAGAGCACTGGATGGAAATTTTGTTCTGAGAACTTCCCAGAAGCAAAGAAAGGAGATTTTCGGGCAGGCTACTAAAGAAAGTGGTTGTACAGCTGCAATCCTGTCTGGGTCATCCAGGCAATGGGAACTTGCAGGCCCAAATCAGAGATCTCAGTATCCCCTCCCCGCTTGTCTGGAGTACAGCTGAGAGAGTGAAGACTTGTGCTGAAGTCTGGAACGTAGAATGAAATAGCAAAGTAACAAAGACACTTTCCACTGGAAGAGTACAGAGATAAAATGCAGTAAGTTGAGCAGTGAGAAGTCTATTTAAGGCAAAAAAAAGTACACACAATAAAAGGGGAGTGTGGACAACCTCCGAAAGGAGGCATGCTAAGGATTTAGGGTTTGGGGGTTTTATAGGGTCTTTTGGGTGGGGGTCAGCATAAGGCATGGTGTATACATGTGATTCATAATTCTGCAGAAGTTTTGTCTTAAGAATAGTGTTACTTAGGTGACTGTGTTGACCCAGATCTCAGCATTCTTTACCCACATAGTTTCATTTACACTTCAGAGGTCTATCTCCTGTCCTGGTTACAAAGTTACTTAATTGGTTAAGGGGCTGGAAGAAGAGGAAGAGCACCATATAGATTAATTTAAGGAATAAACGGTCTTTTTCACAGGCTAAATAGATTATTACAATGGCATGACCCTTGTCCCATTTCCCTGCCCTATCTCATACATACCACATCTTTATTCATTTATTGCTGGACACGAAGGTTGCTGCTTCCATATCTTGGCTATTGTAAATAGTGTGGCAATAAACATAGGAGTGAATATCTTTTCAAATCAGTGATACTATGTTCTTTGGGTAAATTCCCCAGAAATGGAATTACTGAGTCATATGGCATTTCTGTTTTTTGATTTTGAGAAGTCTCCTTATTGCTTTCCACAGTGGCTGGACTAGTTTACAATCCCACCAACAGTCTATGAGGGTTCCATTTTACCCACTTCTGTCTTTTTCCCATTGTATATTTTTGCCTCCTTTATCAGATATTGACCATATAGATGTGAGTTTATTTCTGTGCTTTCTAGTCTGTTCATTGATCTATAAATCTATTCTTGTGCCAATACCATACTGTTTTAATCACTGGCTTTGTAGTATAGCTTGAAATCAGAGAACATAATACCCCCAGCTTTGCTTTGCTTTCTCAAGATTGCTTTAGCCACTTGGAAGTTGTGGCTCCATACAAATTTTGATAGGGATTGCGTTGAATCTGTAGATTGCTTTGGACAGTATGGCTGTTTTGACAATATTAGTTCTTCCTATCTGTGAGCATGGAATACCTTTACATATATTTGTGTCTTCAGTTTCTTTCATCAGTTTCTTACAGTGTTCAGAAAACAGGTCTTCTATCTCCTTAATTAGATTTATTCCTAGGAATTTTATTCTTTTTTAATAAAATTTTTTATTAAGGTATTGTTAATATACACTCTTATGAAGGTTTCACATGAAAAAACAATGTGGTTACTACATTTACCCATATTATCAAGTCCCCAC